GCTGCAGTGCACATCCCAGTGTGCTGTTGCCAAAACTGCTGCAGGTCCGATTTATGGTCCATTATGGAGCATTAGGCAGCCCATTCAAATCATGAGCAAGCATTAAGCACACTATAACAGACCTGCCCTGGTATGAATAGGCTCCAAGAACCCAGTCACAAGTGCCTAAGCAGATAGTTCAGTTGCAGAATAAGTCATTTACCGTTGCTAAATAAATACCCTTCCCGGACTTATATACACAAAACTGTAAAACAAATCTATTTATCAAACAAAACTGTACTGTTTCCTTTTAGAAAGGCTCTTTTCAAGTGCACAGAGAAAGAAATATACTGACAACTGTTTACTAACAAACCATGTGATTACCATATAGTGATCACATGACTGAGCATCACACTGACTGGCTCTTGATCATTAGTAGAGACTGGGAGCTGTCAGTGACAAGTGTGGTCTCACAGCTAAGAGCTTGCAGCGTTGTTGTCACCTAGCAGACACATTGTAAGGTAGATTAATGTTCCAATCCACAGATTGGAGGCAGGAAGGGTCTAAAAAAAGTAACTAAAGAAAGAAATAGGTTGCCCATAACAACCATTACTGCTTTAGTTCTTAATAATACCACACAGACATTTCTTCCTACAGTAGCTTTGATGAGGCTCATCATGGAAAAACCTACTGAACATTTAAACAAGGATATAAAAATCACTCTTGCATGCAGGGCCCACAAAGTGTCATCATTGCCCGTTCATTTTAATTATTCCCAAAACAAGCTGCGCTCTTCTGCTCCACAAAGGATCCACAACCTGTGTTTCCCTACCACCTATAATAAGAGCGAACCACAAACAACTCTCATATATTTACACACATACATAACAACAGATGGTCACAACCTGCCCTCCACTCTTTCATAAAAAGGTGCTTACAACTTTCCCTACACTCGCTCACACGATGGGTGGTGATAACTTGCACTGCACTCTCTGCAGTGTGAGATCTAAGGCACTGCTGCCTCTGACTGTAGCCTCAGGAGATTGGAAGTGAGATTTGGTGATGTCACTAATGTGCTGCTCACTGTTCTACTTGCTGGAAGCTATGACATGAGGAAGTAAAGCCCTGCCTCTACCAAGATGGCCCCCTAGACACAGAGACAAAGTGCAGAACAAGGCATGGTAAGTCAGCAATGGGAAAGACTTGTAGCCTGTCATATGAAGCTAAAAAATGTACATGAGCTTCTTTTCAGGCAGAATCGTGCAATGTTTGGCACCAAAGACTTTAATGGGAGCTTTAAAAAAATCCATGTTAAAAGGAGAACTATGAGGTGAGTGATTTCCACTCACCTCATAGTTCTAGCCGACCTGTGACAATGAGACTGTCACAGGTCGGCTCAGTAGATCGGGAGGTGAGCGAACACATACCGGCGTTCACTCACCTCTCGATCCTGTCACAGCTCTCTGCCGTGACAGGGGGAGGGGCTGGATTCCCCTCTCCCCTCTGCCAGCACTGACTGGCGGAACGGACGGGGGAGGGGGCGGGTACAGCTGGCTCTGCCTCTAGATAGGCAGAGCCAGCTGTCACTTACGCAGCTGGGCGGACCTCGACGTCGAGGTCGGGAATCTGCTCCGGCTGCGGCATCTCAGTATACCGCGAGCTGTAGCTCGCGGTATACTGAGCTTAGGGTGACGGGAGGACGCTAGTTTGTGTCCTCCCGTTACCCTAAGGAGAACTATGGGGGAAAAGCCCTAACCCCATAGTTCTCTTTTAATGGGCTTTTCTTCAGTTGCACCCACTTTAAACTCTATTCTGCTCCTTTATTACAAGAAAAACACATGTACAAATGTGCAAAAACAGAAAACCTCAAAATCACCTGGCTGTGTTCATGCTTAGGTGTGAAAAGGGCCTAAAGAATACATTTTAATCCAGTTACAGATTGCTTAGAAATGGTGATGAAATATTCTCATCAATTGTACATTTTAAATGATCAAAACAGTGTCATGATCTCTTTAAAAGAGGCGGGGCCTTAATCTGGGTATACATGGTTACATTTTCTTTGTTAAACCTGCAGGCTGAATGAAGAAAATATAAGATTCCCCCATCAATGCTTATGGGTGTGGATGGGCGAATCCCCCACTGCTGTGCATTGTATTCCGACAGTGGCCTCCAGCTGCAAGCTCCATTCAGCTGAAGATTTTCCAACCTGCTTCTTCAATCAGCTGACTGGAGGATTCTGGACAGAAAGGTGCCGATATGGGCACCCACTGTGCAAATTTCGTCAGGCTCAACCAGAACTGGCTGAAATTTGCATAGTGTATAGTCTACTTTAGAACGAATCTCCCCAAAGTTGAATCTATTACAGGGGATTCCTGCACTTTGACTCGTATCTATTGCAGTTTTCTTAACAAAGCAGCAGGTGATCCACACACACAGGAAGCACGATTTCTGGCACAGTTTTGTATACAAACATTATCTGTGCTACATCATAGGCCTGGCTGTGCTTACTAGCAGGGGTGTTCAGATTCTCCACCACTTCACACCGATATATTTATCTGGTAGATAAACTAGTAATTCCCCAATGATAATGCGCATGTCTATGTGCTGCCCCCACATGTACACAACGCAACAGGCAGAAACCAATCAGGGCTGATTTCAAATGGAATCATAATAATAATGGAACTAAAATCAATGCGAGTAGAATTCATCATTCAGATAAAACAGGAAATCTACAGGAGCCTGCCCAGCATGTCACACCTGATCCCCAACAATCCCTACACATTCACTGCTGGCACTGATATCTCTGCTCCTCCCCAACATGCCCAATGCCAGGCACTAAACCTGGGACACAGACGGCAGTCAGTGCTCCCCTGGGACGCAGGCGTCAGTCAGTGCTCCCCTGGGACACAGAGACACAGACGTCAGTCAGTGCTCCCCTGGGACACAGAGACACAGACGTCAGTCAGTGCTCCCCTGGAACAGAGACACAGGCGTCAGTCAGTGCTCCCCTGGAACAGAGACACAGACGTCAGTCAGTGCTCCCCTGGAACAGAGACACAGAAGTCAGTCAGTGCTCCCCTGGAACAGAGACACAGAAGTCAGTCAGTGCTCCCCTGGAACAGAGACACAGAAGTCAGTCAGTGCTCCCCTGGAACAGAGACATCAGTGCTCCTCCTAGGCAAAGTCCTGCACTTGGTGCTCCTCTCAGACAATGACAGGCACTGTTCAGAACTGGGTGCTCCTTGCACACACTGACAGGCACTGGTGAGTACTGTCATCTCACCGGTTCTCCTGGATCCACTTCATCATGGCCAGCACCTCGGGCAGCTGTGCGGGGTCGGGCGGCGCCCCCTGCGGATAGAACTGGTCGGGGAAGTTGCGGTTGAGGTCCAGGTGTCGGGCATTCTCCCTGCCCCCGTTTTGCCCCCGGCAGTCCCCCTCCTGGGCCCGGTGAAAGCCGTCCGGATTTAGACTGGGCAGGATGTAGATGTCGGTGGTGTTGATGAGCCGGGTGATGCGGGGGTCCTTGCCATAGGCCTCCAGCAGGTACTGGATGAGGTAGATGAGCACCTGGCGGGACACCGTCTCATCGCCGTGCATGTTCCCCACATACTTGAACTGCGGCCGCTCCGGCGGGGCAGTTTGGAGGTCAGCGGTGATCCTCATCACCCACAGCTCCCGAGACTCCACAGACATGCCGATACTGAAGAGCTGGCACAGCTCCGGGTACGCCCGGGTGAAAGACTGAAGGCGCTCGGTGAGAGCCTCATGGTTGTAGTAGCGGTCGTACTTCTCCGTGTTGTCCCCTATTTCCTTCTTTATAGAAACCGCGAAGAGCGGGGAGACCGCCAGGGTCAGGACGAAGAATGACAGACAGCACCTGAGACTGAACATTCTGCTCCAGCCACTCTCGCCAGCTGCCACCATCTCCGTCACTCCAGCCTCCCTACTTCCTGCCTTCACCTAGCAACCGTCCCACTCACTTGGAGACTTCCATTTCCGGTACACATGCCCCACTTCCGGCCTGACTGACACGCGTGACGTTCATGCCTGTTGTTCTGTGCCCCACTTCCGTCTCCATGATGGACCTCACTGTGTTAGTGATGAAAGCATGAGCTTTCAGGGGTGGGCAGCCTCGGCACTCCAGTTGTTGTAGAACCATAAGTCCCATAAGGCATTGCAAGACTGCGGCAGCCAGAGGCAAGACTTCTTAAGTCATGATGGGATTTGTATTTTCATCACAGCTGGAATGCCCTGGTTGCCTAACCCTGAGTTTTGTTAAACTGGATGAAGTGTTCTAGGGAAATTGTGCAATTCATCGAGCATGACCTAAAATCTGATCTCATAGCAGGGTGGATGACCGCTCACTATTCTGAAGTAATCACTTTTGTAGGGATGCACCGATACTTTTTGAGTACCAATGCCGATACTTGGCATTTTCAGGAGAAGTACCAAGGTTGCAGCGGTTGCAGCTGGGACCTGGCTCTGGTGCTCCACCACTGTCCTGAAATCATTAGTCGATATTGTTTTAGAAAAACTCACATGACAATGAACAAAAATGTATCAGTACTCGTACTTGTAAGTACTTGGGCAAGTATCAGTACTCGCAAAACTGGTATCGGTGCATCCCTTTATTTATATTTATAAAAACAAAACCGTACATTAAAACAGAGATGTACTAATCCCAGGAGCTCTGTGTGCTCCTTACAAATGACAGCTGCCTCCTAACTTTTGAATTCTTCTCTAGTCTAGTCTTGGAGCTCGAAAAGTATCGGTACTTGTATTTGTACCGAGTATTGTAATTGGTATCGGTGCATCCCTACTTTTAAGCAGTTTTCAATGACAGAAACAACAGATCATGAAAACCTACCAGCAACATTTTAGATCTCTTTGTGGCATTCATATGAAGTGTTACCGGTAGTGGTAGGTTGAAGACATCCAGTTATTATTATTATTACACAGGATTTATATAGCGCCAACAGTTTGCGCAGCGCTTTACAACATAGGGAAGACATTACAATCACAATACAAATCAAGACCAGATGGTAAGGAGGGCCCTGCCCGTGAGGGCTTACAATCTAAAATTGTGTGATAAAAACCTGGTGATGTGTGATAAAAACCAAAATGATCAGAAAACAAATCTGAGGAATGGGCTGCAGGGATTTTTTTTTAATGATTCTGTAGATCGATGGACTCGGAATCTAGGTAGAATCTGAGATGTTTGTGAGAATAAATAAAATTACAAGCGTGTCTGTTCATTGGCGGACAGAGATGTAGAATTAATGGAAAAGTAGAAATCAGACAACCCAAATCTGACAGCTTGGTTGTATTTGGTTTTGACAGGAGACAGTACTGTCAGTACATGTTTGTATGTCAAAATAGCCCCCATTCGCACCAGAAGAGTGACAACACGCATCATGAAGAATCCCATTATTTCCAATGGTGCCTCTTCACAACTGAACTGTCCATTGGATTAAACAGAACTGCTCAAGCCTTAAAACGCCTGAAAAATGTGCAGAAAAAGTTAAAAAAAAAAGGCTATAAAATAACCAGAGAACACTGAAGTGTGAATGGGGACTGAGACATCACCAATAGGGTGAGCTCAGGTTCGGACTGAACCCGGCATTCCCTGCCCTGCAGATAAACAAAGGGGGCGGGGTGATTTTTGCTGCCATCATTGACCTCATATGGTCCCATGGCCATATTAGGTAATGCCATTGACCAAATATAGCGATGTGGCCATATAAGGTCAATGAGGTCACTGCATCCCATTACTTTGCTTACTTGCAGCTGCGGGTGGGGCAATCCTGGGCGGCAGTGGAAGGAGCTTCCTTTCGTGTTCAGAGGAGCTTAGGTGCACACCGGGTTCAGTCTGAACTTGAGCTCATCCCTAGTCACCAGTCATAACATCCTATATTCATATTTTGTTTTTCCCAGTTTGTTATTCCTCAGTTAGTCTGTGACTCTGGAATGCACCTGGATCCCAGGTAGTATTGTCACCTTTTCTTTGGAAATCTACCAGCCTTATGGTTGTTTTTTTCCTTTTATTAACATTGGCAATAAATTGAGTTAGTACTGGTCCTAATCCCGGGTCCACATTATGAATTGGGCCAGGCCATGCATTTAGCATTTACAGAGAGTGGTCAGAAATCCTGTTCAGACAGAAATAAGCAGGCTGCCATACTGACCTCTCCTTCTAAAAATGCTGTTTGACCGGCAGCCACCATGCCTATCCAATATATTTCTGAGCTGCTGCCCAGAAGAAGTCTGCAGATCAGCAGGTCTGTTGTTATAATCTGCATGCTTGTGTCTCCCATACACTTTCGGGGGTGTGGAAATTAAAAAACAAAAAAAATACTTGTCCAAGGACTAAATCTACTAAATAATTTAAACCAAAACCATATTTAACCCTGCTCATTGGTCAGTGTGGTCACAATTTGCAAGCGAAATGGCCAGATTTGAAGGGATTATTCAAATTTCCCAAATTACTTGGGAAAGCAAACTTACCCTTTAATGCACATTCAGGGGAATTTATCAAAACTGGAGCAGACAAAATCTGAATCAGTTGTGCCCTGACAACCAATCAGCTTCTCTCTTCAGTTTGTTCAGTTAAGATTTTAAAATAAGAGATAGAAGCTGATTGGTTGTCATGGACAACTGCTAAAGATTCTGCCTGCTCCAGTTTTGATAAATACCCTTGATAATACAGAGCGCTGCTGCCTGGCTACCACAATATGGCATACAATGGAATGGGGGCAGCACTCAGCACACACACACAATGCCCTACACGTGTTTATTTGCATGCAGATGGCGGGGGCAGCGGGTTTGGTTTAATTTTGTTTATTTGATTCATTTTTATTTTTTATCACTTTTAATATTTTTATTTTATTTTTACTTTTTAATCACTTTTTAATTTTTTTTATTTTATTTTTTACACTTAACTTTATTGCTATTCCACAGGGGCTAACAGGTACCTATGTGATAGCATTTGAAGGTGACAGGTTCTTTTTATGGAGCCTGCCCACCAATACGGAGGATCAAGCACAGCATCTGTGCAGCCTGGCTTGTGTCAGCTGAGACAGGAAGCACTGCGAGTACGATGCCCCTGTCTCAATGATGGCACGGTGTAGATCATAGAACAGACGTTCTCCGGTCTGCTCCCCACTCTCCATCCTTAAACCATTGCCAGGCAGGGGAGATGAACAAGCAGGCTGCTACAAATGATCACTTGCACAAAACGTGTGGTGGGTTCGCTGCTCTACATTCAGCCCTGCTTGCCTTCAGCAGGGCTAAATGTGCAGAAAATACACCTGCCCAGCGCCTGGAACTGCATGTCCCGGGTATCGGGCGATAAGAATCCCACACCCTTGACATTACATACTCCCCACCCCCCATTCTCAGATATCTGCCTGTCTATGTCCAAACCAGCAATGTGAATCTTATTTTCTGATATGACCTGTTTAGCAATCCATTACAGTCTGTTTTAATTCCCTTCCCTAAATGTTGGTTTCGTAGCTTGTAGTACAAATGTAACTGGAATCTTGCTGCAACAGGCAATACCTCCACTGGGCATTGTACTGTTATAATAAATAAGAACTTCAAGAGGTTTCCCAGTAAATAAAAGTTGTAAATCTGATCTATCAGTGTAGTAACAGCACAGTGGTGTAGTGGTTAGCACTTCTGCCTCGCAGCACTGGGGTTCCCTGGTTTAAATTCTGGCCAGTCTACTACCTGCATGGAGTTGCATGTGCTTTCGTGGGTTTCCTCCCACACTCCAAAGACATGCTGGTAGGTTTATTGGCTCCTGTCTAAATTGGCCCTGTATGTATTAGATAGGGTTTGTAATGTAATGTAGCTGACACTCAAGTTGAGATCAGTACCATTGTATTCTGGCCAGTCTACTACCTGCATGGAGTTGCATGTGCTTTCGTGGGTTTCCTCCCACACTCCAAAGACATGCTGGTAGGTTTATTGGCTCCTGTCTAAATTGGCCCTGTATGTATTAGATAGGGTTTGTAATGTAATGTAGCTGACACTCAAGTTGAGATCAGTACCATTGATAAGTCTCATGATCCTGCCGGTCTGCTTCCTATTATAAAGTTGCAGTCTCGGGCTCAAATTCATAACTTATGACTCTTCCATATTTTTTGCCATTGAATCAAATACAGAGATGTGTCGACTAGCCACCAGAGCAGGGGTGGGCAAACTCCGGCCCTCCAGCTGTGGTGAAACTACAAACCCCATCATGTATCTGTCTCTGGGAGTCATGCCTGCGGCTGTTAGAATCTTGCAATGCCTCATGGGATTTGTAGTTCCATAGCAGCTGGAGGGCTGGAGTTTGCCCGCCCCTGCTCTAGAGGGAGTGCTTAGTGGCTCAGTTCAATTTGTTTCAATACGTGCTAACATGATGATTCAAATGGATGTAATCAAAATATTGAAAATAATATACCTTTCCTTTAAAGCTCATCTGCAGGCATGATTTCTTTTATTGCTCCCCATTCTTGTCAGTCACTGCATGCATGCATCAGGAATAAAGTTCCCCCTACCATTCACCAGAGCCCAGAAATGTTTGTTATAATGGCATCGTTAGTTACTGGTCCAAAGTACTGCTCGTATAGACTCCTGGGTTCCGGGGAGCACTCTGTTACATCCTGTGCACATAGGGTACCCCTAAGAACTACATCCCTCAAGAGCCTTCAGCCGGTGATCGATCAAAACTACGAACTTATCGAGTTGTGGAACCGCATTACTACCGGTTTCCTCACAACTACGAGGTTTTTACACAAAACATGTTGTGCACGAGCGCCATCCACGGCATTGCTCTATAGACATAGACCACAGCAATAAAGTAATAAAATGATGTAGGATGACAGTAAGCCAGCGCGTTCTTTATCTCAGGTGCCCCACTCAAGCGGCGGCCATATTGAGTGGGGCACCGGAGATAAAGAACGTGCTGGCTTACTGTCATCCTACATCATTTTATTACTTTATTG